GCTGAAAATTTGGTGACTTAATCTACACATACGTGCGGGCTCGTATCCTCAAAATGGACGCTCAGGACCGCGTGGTTCTCATTTAGGGGCACGTGAAAGTCTTTTTGGCGGGAAAGCGTTTTCGGGAACGACTCATGATAGGAGGCTGAAACTTCACAAGTTGTTCCTTAGCCGCGTCTAATCCAAAGATTTCATATTCAGCCATCACGCTTCCTCAAGACGTCAAGGTTTAAACTGGCATCACGCCAACCTCAAATTTAAGGCGATCAACAAACTGCAGAGAGCTGCAATTTTGCAGCGTTACTTGGTGCCCACTGTTGTGTCCGTAAAAATAAGTTATTTGTCAGCCCTCCTGCATCTCACGCACGAACACGTGTACACACGTAAAATTTGACGTAACTCCGCAACCAGAGCAGCTGGAGTGCTGAAAATTCTTGAGCGCTACCCAGGACCGTGTTTGACCAACCGCAAGCGAAGAAAGCATTCACTTTACCATTCATTTACGAGCACCTGAAATTTGTTGTAACTCTTCAACCAGAGCAGCTGGAGTGCTGAAACTTTCTGAGTGCTACCCAGGACCGTATTTGACCAACCGGGGACGAAAAAAGCACTCACGTTGCCACCTACGTACGAACGCGTGAAATTTGACGTAACTCTGCAACTGAAGCATCCAGAGCGCTGAATTTTTTGGGCATGGATTGGGAGTCATTGTAATAATTTCGAACAGTCATGGCGGCCAGTCACAATTCTTTTAGCTAGAAGCATCTGCCGGGAAGAGTATGCCACTGGCGAAAAAAACCAGCGGGGAAACTGTGCAAAAAACGCATCCTCGTACCGGCTGCCGATACGCTTTCGACTAAGTTTCCATCTATGCAATACAAAAACGCATGTTGTCGGGGGTTGTCTATGTGTGTGTTTCTGTGTGCGTGTGTGTGTGTGCGTCTGTACGGAGTTTTCATCTCGAGATCCACAAACTTTGACAATTTAATCCGCACATGCGTACAGACCCTTACTTCCGCATGGCTCCCACGATAGGCACGTGAAAGTTTTTTAGTGGGAGAGCGATTTCGGGGACCGCGCAAAGTAGAAAGCTAAAAGTTTTAAATCGAGGATTTCAAATTCAGCTTCCACAAATCCCTATGTTTACGTACGCACACATCGAAATTTAAACTGGCATCATGCCAACTCCAGATTTAAGCTGACCAAGAAGTTACAGAGAGCTGTAATTTTGCAGCGTTATTTGTCTCCCACTGATGTGTCCTAGAGTGCAAATTGAGCTTTCCAGCCCCTCTGCATCTCACATATCAACACTCGAAAATTTCGCGCAGTTTTGTAATTTCGAGACTGAATCAGCTAGACGGCTGAAACTTTCTGAACGTGACCCACAACCATGTTTGAACGGTCGCGCATGAAAAGAATTTACACGTTTCTCCCTCTCGTGAGAGCATCTGAAATTTGACGCAGCTCTGCAACCAGAGCATCTGGAGTAGAGAAATTTTCTTTGTTTGGCCCAGGATTGTGTTTGAGCAAGTGCACGCAAAAACAGCATTCGCTTTTACCCTCATTTACGAATACGTGAAATCTGACGTAACTCCGCAACCACAGTACGTAGAAGGTTGAATTTTTTGAGCACAGATTGGGAATCATTGTAATAATTTCTGAGGGTCATGGTGGCGTGTCACAATTCTTTTAGCTAGAAACATTTGCCGGGAAAAACAGCACCGTTAGCAACAAGAACCTGCGGGAAGCTGTGCTAAAAACGTATCTTTGCGCCAGCAGCCGGTGCACTGGCCAATAATTTTGCATTGCATATATGCAAAAAGCGTACATAAAATAAATAAAGTTATTTGCAGCTAATTTCCAAAAAATAGACATACATTACCGAATGAAAAAACAAAAAAGCATCTATCATCTTTGCTTGATCACTCTCTTCCTCCTCTTACTCAGTTCCTTTCAAACATTACCTCCGCGACCACTGGTGAAATTTACATTTTCAAGAAACCACAACGCGAAAGGAACAAAAGGTCAGGATCCATCCCAATGGCCGAGTGTTGCAAAAGCTACTCAGGAAGCTAATTTGTTCCGTTATTACTACCTTCCTTACTTATACAGGTGAGCTTCTCATATTGATTTCATTTTTTAAGCAGTTTGAGCGGATGGAAACATTTTTGATAAGGTTAAAATAATTTTTGTGCTAGGTAGGTGTTGCATTTTTGACGAATTTTCACGGCGTAGGGACGGTTGTCACGCTTTTTTGAAGGCATGTTGAAAAATGATATTTTGTGTATTAGTTCATACAGCGATTATGCGAAACTATCAACACTGAAATGCTGAAGTATTAAACAACTGAAAAGTTTTAAACACAGCCTTTGAAGCACTGGGATGTTAAATATAATTACTAAGAATACCAAGATCGTTCCGAATTCAGTGCGAGTATCTTGTGTTAGTGATGTTACTGGGATGTTTCCAAATGCTGGGCGCAGCTGTGCCGGGTCCTTTGGTCTTCAGCATTACTGGAAATTTGCGCCAACTGGTAGTCCTTCGATGTGCAGTCTCTGGCTGGAGGCTGTGTCGCATATTTGCTTCTTTTCCAAGCTAGACGTAACTTTCAACTTCCTTCCAACTCAACACTGTCTGCTTCTAGTCTTGCAGCGGGTATGCGGGAATTTTCACCACCTTTGTTTTCGATGCTTTGATTTTCGGGTCCACTTCCTTCTTGCGTTGAGCTTTGCAGCATTTTATTTTGTAAGAGTTGTTAGCAGTGAAAACAATGTCATTCGCGAAGCGCGTTTTATCTGCTCGCCGTTGACCTTCAGATCGCCTGTCCAATCCAGTTTTCGAAATACCACTTTGAAGCAGGCGGATGAAAAGCTTAGACGATATGGTATCGCCTTGCCTTACTCTTCTCACGATCGGTACGCGAATTATAGTGGGAAAAGTTTTACGTTTGTCGGGCAGCTTATATTTGCTTCCTTCAAAATTCCCACTTAGTGCCTATCAATTTCTACATCTGCAAGAGCCTACATCCACCGATTTACTGGAGAAGTAATTCATCCCTTAACGGTGATTTACCAATCTACGATTCTTAGTAGCACCTAGCCCTAGAGCTACCAGCCTAATCTCGCTGACCCGGCCAAAACGCTTGCAGGGCGCTGAAAACCAATTTTATGTCTTTTTGCAACTATGCATTACAAAAACGCACAGTGTCGAGGAGTTGTTTGCGTGTGTGCGTCTTTGTCTGTATCTGTGGTTGCGCCTGCACTGATTTTTCGTCTCGAGACCTAAATAAAAGCTATCTTTGGGATCAAAGTCTACACCCTTGTATGGGCCGCTACGCAAAACTAACACTCACGCCCATTTTTCTCGCTTACGGGTACGTGAAAGATTTTCTGGGGGGAAAGCGATTTCGGGAGCCATTCGGGCTAGGAGGTTGAAACTTCACGAAAATTTTTTTGTTTTTGCGTTTGGCTCAAAGTTTTCAAATTCAGCTTTCAGGTACCCCTGGGTTTCACGTGCGTGCACGTCAAAGTTTCAGTTGACATCATCCCAACTCGAGACTTAAGCTAAGCAAGAGGCTGTAATTTTATAACGTTGTTTACCGCTCACTAATGTTCTCGCAAAAGTAAATTTAGCTTTCCAGCCCCTCGCATCTTGCGTACGCATATCTTAAGTTTGGCGTAGACATATTTATAACTTCGGTATTAAAGCAGCTGAAGGACTAAAGCGTTGTGAACGTGGCCAACGGCGATTTTGAGCAGGTAAGCATGAAGGCAACTTTTATGTCACTTTCATGCTTCACGTACGAATACATGAAATTTGGCGTAACCCGCAACCAAGGCAACTATGCTGCCCAAAATTTTCAGAGTATGGCCCAGGACAACCTTTGCGCTGATGCACGTAAAAGAGTGCTTTCACGTTTCTCTCGCGTGCGAGGACGCAGGGTTTATCGTAACCCCGTAATTAAGGCAGCCAGAGTGTTGAAATTTTCTGAGTTTGGCGCTCCAGTGTGTTTGGGCTGATGCACATTAAAAAAATTCCTTGTTCTTTTTACGTACGAATACGTGAAATATACGACCCAACTCCACAGATAAAACAACTGGACTGCTAAATTTCTTTAGGCATAGCCGCGACTTTATTGATTGGAAATATTTATTATAATAATTTCCGACAATCGTGGTGACCAGTCTCAATTCTTTCAGCTAGAAGCATCTGCTGGAAAAATGACCCCTTTAGCAACAGAAACCGGCGGTGAAACAGTGTAAAAAACGCATCTTCGTACCGGCAATCGGTGCACGGTGGGATTTTATTATTCTTTATTCATTTATTTTCTTGATTCTTCATAGATATATTTAACAACTAAAAAACTTTGTTTTCTTGATGTATTAAAAAGATTTTAAAAAAGCCCATAGAAGAATGAAAACACTTTTTGCCTGCTCTATAGCATTCCGGTTGGATCGTTCAGTAATTGCTTTCCAGTATATTTTTTGATGTTTCAATGTATGGCGGTACTGTCGTTCGACCAGTGTTCTTCGAGTTTACCACAGATCCAGAAACTCACCATATTTGGGATCAGTTCATGTGGGGGAACGCAATGATGATTATTCCTGTGTATCAGCAAGTTTGTTCTTTTTCTGAAGCGAAACAAAGTCGATTTTTTCGCGAAACCAAAACGATGCTGCAGCTAACGTAGATTTTTGGAGAATTTAGCTAAAAGTTTTTCGTAGGTATTTAAAAAGTCTGTATTTTGAAAAACGTTTTTCTCCACTTTTATCTTTAGTAATTAGCCATAAAATGCAAACCTTCAAAACCTTTTTTCATTTTTTCCTACATAGGGCGTAGATTGTCGAAAGAAGCGTGATGCGGCATCACGTTGCCTACGACAATTTCAGCCGTCGGCATGGCTGTCAGTAACTTTTTCTTCCCAAATTTCTTCCCGCATTTTTTTCCCAGCCTTGACAGTTTTGAATTCTTGAAATGCTGTAGGACCAAACACATGAGAAACCGAAATTTTGCGAACCTGTCGCGAGCATGCGTGTCATCCTTAGAATCTGAAATCATCGCTCACGTGCCTCTGGATCATACGTACGAATGCCGAAAAGAAAATATGCAAATCTTGTGGCGGCAAAACGATTTTGAGAACCAGACTGGAAAGCTGAAATTTCACACAGACGTTCGCTGTCTATGTGTTTTCAAACTCAGCTATCACGAACGCCTATGCCACGCGTACAGCCACATCAACATTTATAGTCGGCAATACGCCGACTCGGAAGCTAGCCGGAAAACAGTAGCTGAAGATTTGTCACAATACTTATAATCCATCTGGGAAATTGTATACCTAAAAAGAACTTCGATTTGCACTTGCGCCAATACTTAAGGCACTTTAAAGATATTTATAGCGAGGTGGCCATTTTGCTTATCGATGAAGCTGCATAGCCGTAACTTTGCAAGAATATTCTTTATTCACGTTTGATCTATATACAGTTCGAAGACTAAATTCCTTACACAAGAATATGAGAAGTACCCAGTTTTATTGCAAACTGAAATAGAACAGTATTTTGAAGTTGGAAGGAGAATGAAAGAGAAAATAATATTAAGAAATTAGTGAAAGTAGTAAAATTATGAAATGTTTCGGTCCACTAAGTCGTATACATTTTTTACCATTACCTCAACTGGACCTCATCGGTACGACGGCTATGGTAATTGTAATTGATGCAAATTAAATTTAGATTAATTGCATAGAATATATTAGTAAAAGTAGAAAGTATTGTAGATGATGATTAGAAATGTGTGAAGTACGAGTGCGTTTTGCATATTTTGCAGTCCTGTTCCAGTATCCTGTGTGATTTAAAACTTGAATTTTTTCCCTTAACAACTGCTCACCGAAAAAACGACCGGCTTGTTAATCATGTATGCTAGGAATCCACCGGCCCCATGATGCAACACTACCATCCGACTTCCTTTCCCCTGTGTGCAAGCAAAGGCCAAAACACTGCCAATATGACAGTGGAAATTTTCATAAAAGTACACTGCCCACATAGTCTGAACCAGGAGTTAAGTGGATGCTAACTGTGCTCCTACTGGAAATTTTACTTGCTCACATAGGTGATCCAGACTTCTGTGTAAGATGAGTTTTAAATGCTTTTCTCACGCATCATCGTATCATCAAGATTTTAGTTTCCTAGAACAGTTGGCCCCCCAAAAACGATGTGTACATGATCGTAAGCGTGAACAAGCGTGGGTAAGTGCTCAGTTTTCGTATGCGGACTCATACATGCACAACAAATATTCTCGTAAAATCAGAGGACTGCTCAACTAAGTTCTTGAGTTAGCATTTTGCCCATCAGTGCGAAATCACAACTTTGTCGCGTGACGTCCGTGTGTGTTCAAGCTGAGCTCAAAAGCTTTAGCTTATATAAGAGAGTAGACTGCTCCCTGAAGTTCAGCTTACTACCTTGTCTGGTTCCCGAAATCGCCCTCTGCCAAAAAATCCGGGAAAATTTTTTAAGCATCTGTAATTGAGACCCAGGCGTAAGTGAACAATGTTTTTAAAATAGGGGCATCGCACATGGAGTAAGGGCATGATCCAGAAATTTCAGCTTCGTATTTTTACTGCTTGCTGAGTTGAAAATGAGTGACAAAAATGCAAACACACATGAGCGCACATATAAATATACATACATATATATACTAACTGCCTCTGGTCAATATGTATTTCTGCATTTGGATAACTATGCAAAGAAGCATAAAAACTGCATTTGCTATTGTTTTATTGAAAATATGACTTGAAATGTTGAACTTCAGAAGCGCTTTCTGAAAAAAGAACCTGTAGCGGAAAAGTTTACGGAATTGCTGTTCTGATTATCGTGATGAAATATAACAAATCAGAAGCATTTTAGGGTGTCGCAGAAGTATCTGGTTATCTGCCCTATACGACACCATGGTACTCACTTCGAAATTCCGATTACGCGACACTACCAAAACCTGGTTACAATATATTTAGCGCACCAACGAATGACCTTATTCCTGTTTTTGCGCGAGGTAAATATTTATTAAAATGCAACAATTTTTCTGTTTAGAATATAACATTTTTATGTTTTTATGTCACTGATGTAGCGAAGAAATTAAAGATCTTGTTTATTTGTGCCTGTTTTTACATGTATGCCTCTGTCCGTCTGTCTCATCCATATTTGTACTCCGGATATGTGAGAGCTGAGGAGTCGAAATTTTGTGACGAACATTCGAAATATGTATGGAGCTATAAATCGGAAATCATTGACGACGCGTACAGGGCGGACCCATGCGAACATGCGTTTTTGCAATATTTTGTGCTGTAGTAAGATCGTTTTGGGTCTCAGTAACAAGAATTTGTGACATAATGGTCTTAGAAGTTCAGGAAGTTAATTGTGCAGCTACGTAGTACTTGAACAGGGAACATCCCTTCGAAATTTCAGCTTTCTGGCTTTTTTGGCCCGTAAGTCCCGTCAAAGTTTTCACGCGATTGTATGCAGGAGCAGACGTGCATGAGAGTTGGTACCGCGGTCCTAGAATGGGACTTGACAGGGGAACCCACTAGCAAAATTTCAGCGCCGAAGCTTAGTTGCCGAGTCAAAATATCCGGACAGACACACACACACACACACACACACACACATACGCACACATACACACACATCGGTGTCGTCATAATCGCGTTTTGCATTTGCATATATGCAAAAACGCATAAAAACCACAACAGGTCTCTTTTTGGTCTTGACTTATAATCTCCGTGTAAATTCGTTTCTTAACTCAAGAGCGAACAACTCTCCGAACTCGAGTTTTTGAAAAATGTTTCGATTTAAGTCGAAATTCTATCCCGTATCTCTACCTTGTGAAGTCAAAGATTCTGCAACTATGACTCATTCCGAATTCGAGAAGCGAACTCGAGTTCTATCTCATTCATCTCAAATGTTTTAGATGATTTCCTGCCACGTGACTATAAGCTTTTGCGAATAGTCAGCGATTTTCATGTCAAAGCTTTCATGCGTTCGTGCGCGGGGTCCAGACATGCTTACTTTATTACTCTTTTATTTTATCGGCTATTTTTTTTTTCGTATTCACCCTGATGTGAACATGCACTGCTTTATAACGTCAGTTTAAAGAAGGGTACTTTATGGCGAAAGTTATAGCTTCTCCTTGGTGTTACTGCATCATTTCCACGAAAATACGTTTTGATAAAATCATTTCGGTGTGTTCGCCAGTGTTTATGTGTTGGTATGTTTGTCGCTGTGTCTCTAGAAATATGTGAAGCTGTGGAAGAAAAGATCACAACGCATCGTCCTCAGCTAAGTGAGGATCCGAAAACATCAAATAAGCTATCTTGTCCTCCTACGTTATGATCCTAGGAGTGTCAAAGATTCAGTCTCACGACAAAATATTACCAGAAAAAGCAGAATTGGTCTTGTTCTGCGGCTGGACTGCAAATTATAATTTAACAAACAGTCAAAACACCATCGCATTTGCCATTCACACCCCTTAATTCGCAGCAGTTTGTTGCAAAATCGCATTAATCCGTCCATTCCGCTGGCTCCTTATTTTATTCTTGAATAGGGGAATTTACTGAAAATGTTGAAAAGAGTTTTTTAGTCTTGTAACTGAAGGGCATTGTTTTCAGGAGGTGTTATAATTCCGCGTCAGAGACCAAATACAACAACCGTAACTTCCAGACAAAATCCGCTTGAGCTGCTCATAACAATCGGTGTTTATTTATTTACTTTTTATTTAAATTTCAATTAGCAGCTAGAAATTTACTCTACAGTCAGCTTGGATTTGTATTATCAAATTCTTACTTTATCTAATGGCGGTTGGTACAGCTGCATGATTAGCGAATTCTTACTTCCATTCGCTCTGTAGGATACAAGCCACCTTAGCTGCTTTTTCAACTCACTAAGACGACGTTTTCAGTCTTGCTTAGATCTTTGAAGATTTTTTGTCAGCCGAAGCTGCATTTCTTGTTAATTGAAGTTGTTTTTCTCAGATAGTATCTGTTCAGATTTTGATAAAATTGATGGACCTGCAAAATCAGCGGGCACACTTTATTGGGATGACGGTGAAAGCATTGTCCAGGACTTCGAAAATTATAACTATTTCCAGTGGGTGTTCGAATTTGTTCATACTTCTGAGAGAGCTGCTTTGTACATAACGCCAAAGCGTACTGCTGTAAGCATTTCTTTGAACACAATTTCTGTTTTAAGAAACATCTTCGAAAAATTTTCATAAAAATGGTTATGTCAGTAAGTACGTCCGCCTTCATTGCTTTGTTCTTGTAGACCACCTGATCAATCCTGCTACTCATAATGAAATTTCTTCGCCCTTAAAATTTTCAAACAACAAATTGTAGCTGTTGGATTATAATTATTTCCAGTGGATATTTGGATTTTTTCATACTTTTGAACAGGCTATTCAGAAGTCGAGTAGCTCGCGCAGAAACATGAATAAATCCAAATATCTGCTGGAAACAGTTGTAATTCACAGCGCATCTTTTTTGCTAGGTTTGACTGTCATAGACGAGTTTGAGAAGGGGTACTGACAAGTGTAATGCAAGTGGTGAGGAAAGTCTAAAAAATTTGGCATTTTGTCCAGAAAAACCAATAGAAAGAAGAAAAGCGGGTTTCAGGATGACCAGTATGCTGACTGTTAGATAATGTAATGTCATTCACTTCAGTTTTTGAGAGATTACCAGCCGCATTAATGGCAAGAAGGCACTTTGCAGTAGAGGGGAACTGACCAGTACACTAGTATGAGCACTCCAAATGCCATCAGTAACCTAAGAGATGGGGGACAACATGCAGAACTGCTAGTTTTTTGAGAAAGCACAAAAATTACAGACTTTTCCCAAAAATGAAATTTCTTACCGCGCTAGTAAGCTATACGTTTTCGATCTTGCGTTTAGTCCAGCTGTTGTGCAGAAAAACCCAAATTCTCATGATCTTGGAGAATTCCTTCAAGCACGAAGTAGCACTTTTCGTACAAAATGCGACTTTTATAAAAAGGGTCTGGAAGGGTCCCTCCGTGTGTTTTTTTTTTTTTTCACTTTTGTAAGGCGAGCAAGTGAGAGATGCTGGGAAAAGCTAGAACGATCCAGAAACGAGCAGCAGCGAGACCTACTTGCTGCACGAAGTTTTTCCTGAGAATTCCATCCCGCTGTGATGAGTACAAAAGATTGCAATTTTTTTTGCAAATTCAGTTAGTATTAGTGTTTATGTTGGTTTCCTTGCGTCTGAAGTTCGTCCGGGTGCAAATTCTTCGCAGTGCCTATATTATCAACGTATTTTTAATGAAGTTTTTGTTTCTTTTCAATTGGCGTCTCCTGCAATAGGAGTCGGTTTGTCGTCACGCCAGTGTCAAATCCTGTTCGTCGTCCGTCTTAACGTTAACGTATACGGTATTTTGTTTAAAGCGAGCCTCTCATCTTCTAGAAAAGAGGATAGCATTCTCAACTTAAAAAGGCGAGAATGCTATAGTTTGCATCCAGTCTCAGCCAGCACAGATGAAATAGAAGAATAGAAGAATTTCACTTGCATGTCATGTGTTTGAAGACATTTTATGACGCAGTCTGTGTTTCATCCCCTAGCTGTATACACAGGTGCTATACGGTTGTAATTTGAAGGTGCTATACGGTTGTTGAAGTTGAAGGTGCTATACGGTTGTAATTTTTTGGCTAATCAAGGCCACTACAAGTTCTGGCTCCTTTTTCAGAAAGGATTAACGGTGCCGAGCATTGATATTTTGGATATCATTGGCTATCATTACAAAGCGGATTTAGATGAAGCTATGCTGAATGGAAAGCCTGCAAAAATTTCCTTACAAACATCGCATTATGATAGCCTAAGGAGTCGGCTACTGATAAAAACGACGAATCTGTTGGAAATTGGAAAAGCAGCCCCCGGAAGCAAGTTGACGCTTTCCTGGCCACATCAAGAGACAGGATTTTGCGACGAATATCTATGCTAAAAATGGTGTCGACTCCGTTTAATTAATTTCAGTGTGAAAGAATAATAAAGTGAATAGACAGCTGACCGCTTCAACGTCTTTACGTGGTACTATTTTTATTCAAGGATTCTAATGGTGGCGATGGTGGCCACGATGCTAATGGGGAGAACAATAATGGCACTCTGTTCCTCATTAAAATTTCGCTCAAGGACCAAAAACTCCCAACTAGCTTCATTTAATGCTGAATTTTTTGCTCATTTTCATGCATTTAAAGATATTGAAAATTCTTCCACTACTAGGACTATTTCAGTGAATTTCCTGACAAGCGCCGCTTGTCGTTTTATCGCTGCTTTATCGCTTACCGTCCTCTTCGCTGGGCATTCTGAAAGGCTATCTTCTGAAAAAAGAAAATTATTCAATAGGTCCCAAATGATACGCGCTGATCTTATTCGTTAATGTAGTAATTTGAAACTGTTCATACGACATATGCTAGCACATATCATACATATTGACCTTTCACTTAATGAATTCTTTGTGCTAGGCAATGAAGTTTTAAAAAGGTTATTTGCTAAAAACTGTGCATTACCCAAATTTAGTGCCAGTTGTTACTTAATGCCATTTTACCGGGATGGTATTTGCTTTTTTCAGTCTTTATCACTTTTCCGGATGTTTGTGTAAGCGTTTTGCTGAGCATCTGTAAAGCAAACATTAATAAACTATAATAAGCCACTATTTTGTCTTGGCGGTATACGTTCTAGAGCTGGTGATAGCTGGCTAATTCTTTCCTCGATAAAAACATGATTAATTGAAGCAGACATTTTCAAGAGTTTTTCATCCTTATGCAACCATACAAATGCATATTGTGAAGAGGCTGCCCGTATGAGTGTTTGTGTGTGTATGTGAATGTGTATGGGTGTGCGTGGATTTGTAGGGTTTGTGTGTGTGTTTTTATGTGCGTGTATGTGTCTGTAGACGAGTGGAATTTATTCTACACTTCTAATTCAGCAACCAGGAACATAAAATTTATGGCAAAAAAGGGCAAAAACAAAAAAATAAATCTGAACTTATAAGTAAAAGCATAAAAAATCTTAACCTATCCGAGTGGAAACTGACTTCTAACAAATAGCGGTATGCACCCGGCTAGCCGGTGCTATCACGCGTTTTGCACAGCTTCGACCTGCAGACGTTTGCTTTCCCAGCACTTTTAATGTTTTACATTTTGGTTTGTTAAAAATGTAGTCGATATGCTGTTTGTCCCCTCAGCCGTGAAATTTCCCATTAAATAATTTGGATGCCGATATGTGAGACACAAATGTGCGTGAAAGACGTGAAAGCTAACTTTGAAGCCTTAAACGGTGAACATTGTTCCAGGATTTCAACTTTCTAGTTCCTGGCTTCCGAACAACTTCCGCGCCAAAACTTTCATATGTTCGTACGTGAGACCTCGTCATAATTGGGAGATAAGTTCGAGTGTGTTAGACCCTGCATAAGCAAAAAACATCCTTCTGAATTTTTCAGCCTCCCACTTCTTCCCGCTCCCGAAATAATAATTTTTCCAGCCAAAACTTTCACAGAGCCGCATGTGGGAGACAGGTTTTTGAGGGAGCTGAATCTGAGTTTGCGGAGTTGTGTATGAACGCGTAACACCGTACCAAAATTTAGCTTCCCGGCTTTTGTGGTTCCTGGGACATTAATTCACGAGACTGTACGTGGTACCCGGGAAAAGCCGAGGCTGAATTTAGATTTGCTGAGGTGCACTTAGGGAACATTATACTAAAATTTCTGCCCCCCAGCTTTTGTGGTTTCCAAGATAACAATTCGCCTTGCTAAAACTTTCGCAGAGCCGTATGTGATACCCGGGTATCTGAAGGTTGAATTTAAGTTTACGAGGTCGCACTTGGGCGGGGAACATTCTGCCAAAATTCCAACTTCTTAGGTTGTCCAATTCCCGAATTAAAATGACTGGATAAAATGCACTTGAAGCACATACACACACAGACAGAATCTCGACAGTATGCGTTTCGTGCAAGGGATGTTGCAGTACCTAATGTAAAAAAACATCGTCAGTGGGGCCTTGCGTCTTGGTTCCTCTCCTGCATTCCGCTAATCCTAAAATAAGGCTTTGACATGTTTACACTTTAATTAGTAGCGGCTTATAGAACCGAAACTTAAAACTATTAAATCCCATCACTGGCTTCAAAATTTAACAGTTGCGTTTTCAGTATTATTATGCTGCTAGTCCGTTAATGACGTACGCGTATGACTGACGTTTTCCTGGAAATTGCTCAAATGAATTGTGTTGAAAAAAAACAAGCGGTAGCTACAAATTTAAGTACATTAAATTCGTCCAAAATGCCTTAAATATTAATCAGAAAGTCAAAATAGTAACTAATAAATTCTAAACCGCACTGCAAAATAAAAATTGTAGTGTAAAAATACCAAATTAATTTTTGCATTCACAGGGAGCAGTGTAATAATACGCAACTGTAATAATACGCAAAAAGTATCACTTTTTTTAAAAGAATTTTTCATATAATGCAAATTTGGCAGTCACTTTTAAGTTGGGAACCAGAAAAGTTAGAATCCTGAAACCTTGGGACTATGTGTCCATTCCATATGCCACCCTTCTGTTTTAATATTATCGTTTGCGCACACCTGGGTCCCGTGTGCGGGAACCTCAAAAAATATGCAAATTTTTTGACGGGAAAGCGATTTTGGGAACCAGACAAGACAGAAAACTAAAGTTTTGCTAAGGTGTTTGCTGTGCATACGTGAACTAAAGATTTCAAATTCGACTGTCAAGTGCGCTTACACCATACGTACGGTCACGTCAAAGTTAGCAGATGGCACTGTGCCAATTCGAAAACTAGCTGCTGAACAGTAGCTAGATTTCACTCAAAATATTTGTCGTCTACCTCGAAAATCATATACCTCTCTTGAGTCTCGAACTGCGCTTGCACCAACCCTCAGGACCCGTCAGAGATGTTTGTAGCGAAGAGGTAAATTCATTTACCAAATAAGTTATGAAGCTCGAACTTTGTAAGGATATTTCATACTCATGTCTGGTCTTAATTCAGCTTAGAGGCAAAATTCTCTGCAGGCGGACATGGCAAATACTGAATTTTACTGCATACTCAAAAGCGAGTGCATTTTGTAGATTTCGTAATCCTTCTTTCCCGGCATCCTATGCATTGTCAAATTTGCATTTTTCGATAAACGATTGTTCACCGAAAAAAAAGTCAAGCTTTACGCAAAATTAGTTGACGCGGCCTCATGATGCGACGCCATCATCCCGGCCGGCGCTCTTCTTCCAACTACCCCCTCCCCCCTACCTCTATGTCGGAAAAGGCTGAAACGCTACCAACATGAGTTATGTTTTAAAACACAGCGTAGGAACTGTACCTGTTGCTAGCGATCTGAATGCTTAGCGGAAAAACGCACGATCGCACCGGCAATCCTGATGCATTGCAGCCTGGGTTTGAAAAGACGAAGTGCACCCTTTCTTCTTTTTTAATAATTAACATTTATTAATTTAAAGTAAGTGAGAAATATAGAAAGTGTGGAATGCGAAATTCAACTGTTTTTATAAAAGGTGTCAAGTTCTTTTTCTCTCTTCTTTTTATGCGTTTTTTGCAGCAATGCAATGCGAAAAATTGGCCAACGCACGGGCTGCCCGTGCGA